ATTAAATCTACAGGACGTAACACTCTTCTATCTCCCTTTTCCTTCTCCCCCTCTCTGTCCCATTTTTTCAACGCTTTCTTTATCCTCTCCTCCCTCTCCTCCATTTCCTCTTTCAACCCTCCACTCCTTCTTTCTTGTTCTCCTATCTCTCTCCTAAACCTCTCTCTTCCTTCCACATCCCATCTACCCCTTTTTATCCCCTCTTCCCTTCCCTCCCTTCCTCCCTTCCTCCCCTCCTCCCTTATCGATACCACCATCGGATGGTGATCCGAATCTATTTCATCTCCTATTTCTAACCTTTCTATCTTCCTCCTCCCTTCTCTATCTGCTATCACGTAATCTATAACCGTATTCCCTCTTCCTCCCGTGTAGGTGAATTCTCCTTCCTCGTCTCCCTTTATATTTCCGTTCAATATTTCCCATCCCCTCTCCTCTGTCACCCTCACCATCTTCCTCCCCTCCTTATTTATTTTCTTGTCTTTTGACTTCCTTCCTCTTTCGCGCTCCCCCTCCCCTCCCTCTCCTCCCCCTCCCTCTTCCCCCGTTCTCGCGTTAAAATCTCCCCCTATTAACGTTCTTCCTCCTTCTCCTTCCTCCATCCATTCTTTCATTCCCCCCATTTTTCGTTCCAGATCTCCACTCCCATGATTCTCCATCTTTTCCCTCCTATTCTCACTACCCCCTTCATTCTGCCCTCCTCCTCCTCCTCTACCACCCTCATTTCCTTTCTTATCCCCATCAACATTCCCCCACATGCCCTCCCTTTTTTATTCTTTCGTCTCGCCAATGGTACCTTCCACATATACTCCCCTGGCAACCTCCCCCTTATCCTCTCCCACCCTTTCCCATCCAACCACGTTTCCATCATCACTACTACTTCCCATTCCTTTAACTTCTGCCAAAACTCCTTGTCCTTATTCGCTATTCCTGCTACATTCCAGAACGCTACTCTCCATCCTCCCTTCTCCCTTTTTTCCCTCTCCTTTTTTCTTTCTTCCTCCTCTCTCCCCTTCTCCTCTCTTCCCCCTCTCCCTTCCATCCCTTTTTCCTCCTCCCTTCCTCCCTCCTCCCCCCCGCTTCCCTTCTCCCCCTCCCTCTTTTGTTCCCTCTCCCCTGTTCTATCCTCCGCTCCTGCTCTCTTTTCTTGTTCCTTCTCTTTTTCTTTTCCGCCCCCCCCCTCTTCATTTCCGTCCTATCCACCTCCCCCTCCTCCCCCATTCCCTTCCCTCCCGCCCCCTTACCCTCACCTCTCCTCCCCCACACCCTCCCTCCTCCATCTTCTCCTCCCCTCCCCTCACTTTGCCTTCCCTTGTCCTTCCCCCTTCCTTTCCCACTTCCTACACTTTTCACACTTCCCCTGCTTCCTGTGCTCCTCAATCTTTCCCTTTCCCCTCTTTCTCCCACTAACCCCCTTAAGTCTCCTTTTCTTCCATCCTCCATCTCCCTTTCTAACCTTTCTCTACCTTTTCTTCTTTACCACTCCCTCTGCTCCCTACCTACTTCCTCCTTTACTCACTTCCCTCTGGCGCTGTTACCTCTCCCGTCACCCACTGTTACCACTCTATCTCCACTCTATTCCTCTATACTCTATGCCCTTCTTCCTGCTTTGTCACCCAACCTTCTTGCTCCTGAATTCCTCTCTGCCCTGTTCCACCTTCCTATCCCTTTCCCTTCCCCTCCCTCTCTCCCCTCCCCTCCTCTCCCGCCCTTTCACCCTCTCACTCACTCTCACACCTACACTCTCTCTTTTTCTCACCAAATTCGCGTTACAATTTCTGGCTACTCACTCGCACGTCACACTCCTACGCTACCGGAAACGGAAGTCCACGAAAATGATATATAATAACATTCGTTTTACGACAAAACGTTATACCAAAGTAAAAAAAAACAAACGATTATGTCGTTGAAATTGAAAATAATTCTTTTGGTATAATTACCAATATTTGCAGCTATAAGCATAATAAAGAAATCAAAATTATAATTTTCATCAAAGAAATAATATTAGATCCTAATCCTTTTATTTTGACAAATGATGTTACGATAACACATATACGAAAGTGCTTGATTAATAAATGTCCTCTACGAGCTATTAATCCTCACTCTTTATTAGGACAATGTATTTTAATAAACATCGATAATATGCACTATATATGTACTATTCCACAAGGTTGTTTCGGTGATTAAATAATATCCGAATAGCACAAATTTCCAAGGGATATTTTAGAACATATAATGTCTTGTGGACATCTTTTGCATATCATTAAAACGCCCTTTGCAAATATGCGCTGTCTAGGTGTACTGTACATATAATCTTTTGACACATTGCGGGTCACTCAGCATGTAAAAAACAGTTTCTTAAACAGGCAACACGTCCACATTTTGTGCATCTATAGTGAAATTATTTCATGCATCTCCGTAAAAATAAAGTTGCGTATTTATATAGACTCCAACTGTTTTGTTCATTTATTAATTGCATGAAATAAATAATCTCCAGTAAAAATGTTAACATATTACATGTTATATATTCTTTGTAATATTATAGAAAACATTAGTAATAAATAAGATTTGTATTTTAAATACAAACACAATTTATAAAATACGATATAAATTTATTTCGAAATATTGGATGTTACAAAACATTCGCATATCCTTTCATGTGCATGTTGAACTTATCCAACTGAGCAAGATGTCCTCTACTATTTTGCAAAATTACAGATAAAATTTTGAGTTATTAATTATTAAAAATGACAATGTTCACAGGTTTCTTTATTTAATAACTTAAACATTTTCATGTTGTTTACAAAATATTTAAGAACTGTTTTGTTCAGAATGACTTAATGTGCAAATATTTGATGACTGTCGTATCTACTAACAGGCTCAAAGTCCAAGATTCAAAGTTCAATATCACTGTATCTGTCGCTAAATACGATAGTTATTTAATATTTGTTAATTTAGTCTTTCTGAACGAAACAGTTCTTTAACCATTTTTTAAATATGCAAATTTTCCACTTATTAATTTCAGAAATCTCTAAACATTGTTATTTTCAATTATTATTAATTTTATAAGTACTTTGCAAAGTGATAGAGAATTTTTTTTCTCAATTTCATGTGTTCTACTCTGTTTCTGTCGCTAATCTACCATCGAATCATGTCAGCAGGTTCTGCCAACAGGACATAAGCTTAATGCGGATGGCTGTTGTTTTGTTGTGGAATGCTAATAACAAATTGTTATCAATCTGGTAGCATATTGCTAACATTTTACTCACTAGTACATATTCATGCAGGAAACTAAAATTAAAATTTTTTTTAAATTTCGAAATGAGTATTGATTATATTTTCGATTTCATTTAACAGGAAATTTATATAATTTCTAAAAAGACGATATTTTACGATTGTTTTTTAGTATTTATTTTAACTATTGCTTCCATTTTACGTGAAAATTAATATGGTAACTTAGTATTTTCTAACATTTGAAATTCATTGAAAATCAGATTTTATAGGAGAAATTACTATGACAAAAAATGTTTGTATTATTCCTACATTTTTCGAAAAAGTGTTGGAAATATGACTTTTTCTGAAAAAGTATTGGAAACATAACTAACATTGAGCGGTCTTCATTATTATATAAAAAAGATAAAATCAGAGAAGACATGTTACATTTTCAAAAAAAGTAGAATTTTATCATAAAAATCATTATTTCTTATAATGTCTGAAATATAATTTCAATTATTACGAAAATCTCTGATTTGTATACAAAATAAAATGATTAAATCAGGTCTATTACATTGAAATAGAATTTCACAATTTTTTGAATATTTTCAGAATTTTACTGAAAAGAAAAGAAGAAATCGGATTTTGTCACAAAAAACTTCGTACTTTCTATGAAAATTCCGCTTTGTAGATAAAGTCATAAATTTTCATTAAAAAATTTTCACCAGGGTTTCTTTTCAAACGTAGAGTATGATTGGTTGTTGCTAATAGTGAAAAGAGGAAAAATTGAAATAAGTTGGATGCTATGACATCTAGTAGAGAACAATATATCTGTTTCGTATGAAGTAAACACTAACCAACATTAACATTAATATTTGTATATAAGTATTAATTTATTAAAAGGTGGAAGTCCAGTGTTAATAATAATCAATTAGTTTATATTATTGATTTGATTGCATTTATCATATAATAATTGACTTTTATGTATAGTTTTATACTCTGTTTTAGAATATAATCTATCGAAGCAAAAAACCCAATATTTTAAATTAAATTTATATACTTACTGTTTTGTTTTATGAGAAATTTCATGCTCGATTTCTGCTAGAACTGCAATAACAGATTCTTTTGATAATCTAAATCGTGCATGAAAATCGACATTATCAAATTCTTCCAAATATGATGGTCGTCTTATTCTGGTATTTCTTGTCCGTCGATAAATTAGGTTTTCAAAATCTTCATCTTTAGATGAAGATAATATGTATTCTAAAGCCATATCTCTTTGGTGTTCAAACGTTCAAAATATTTGTCAACTGAACTCCAAAACCGGGATAGTCATAAATTTTTTTCTCAAATTGATGGTACTGCAGTGTTAAACTTCGTTTAAATTCATTAAACGCCCAAAGTTTTGGGTTTAACTTTAACTGTGAGAAATCAACGTTAACCATGGTTTAAGGCAGTTATGGAACGCAATTTTTCGTCTAAACTAGGGTTAACGAGTTAAACTTCGTTTACAGTAAGTTGTGGAACCGGGCCTAAGTTGTGGAACTGGGCCTAACCAGACTCAAATCACAGACACAAACCTCGAATCGTTACCGAGACATCGAGTTAGTTGACGTCTATTTTCTCAGGGGGCGTATCAGGACAGACATATGCTTTCGCCCGGTGCCGCTCTCAGGTTTCTCTCTGGTATTAATCATATTACGTGTGATATGCTTGTGTACAAATTTGTATAATTTGAACCATCAATAAATTGTCATCATCAAAAAATTGTATAAACATAAATATAAATTATACAAACAAGTGTATTGTATTGCTATATAATCGTAATTTAGACTAATCATATAAGGAAATGAGATACGTTAAAACAAGGTTATATGGAATGAGAATGCTAAAAAAGGATGTATTTCAGAAGATTTTAACTTCAAATTTAGGTTTAAATTCCGATGAAATCAAACAATTTGTCGATATGAATAATAAAACAATAACTTATAGTAGACACAGGTTAATAAACAATTGTCAGTTATGTCGAGTATGTATAACAATATATAATTCATTGGCAATTACATCGACGCTGCGTTAATTTAATTCTTTTTCTTTATTTGTGACTTTACTGATACAATCTAGAGATTAATAAATTTGCTTCAGATACATAAAGTTGAAGTAAAACCACTTGAACATTTCGGATATTGCTTGAAGTTGCTTCCTCATACGTTGGAGCATAGAATTAATATGCTAAAAGATATAGGAGTACAAAAACTGAATGTAACTCTAATAAGCAAGTAGGTACACATAGAAGTATCAAATATTTTTTTTTATAAGAATGTAAGAAACTTAATAACTTCCCAAAATTACAGAATAATAAGTCAATTGAACAAACCTGTATATAAATTTAAAGAACAGACTTATATCCCATATGAACAAGATGTAAAGGAGAATATATTCAACAGACTTTACGAATCTCCGACTGATATGTCTCTATTGAACTTGAATAATGAAATAAAAATTAAAGAATATTACAACAAGTGCTATCTGTTTTGTAAAACTCAGATATTTAATTTGCCCAACTTAGACAACGAAATATTATTGAAAGGTGAATTGAAAAATAAAAGCATAAGTATGATTGCAGAAATGTTAAAAATACTTCGGCTTGATCTTGGTTTTATTAATAAGTATGTAAGTATAGCTAGTATTAAAAAGAAGTTAAACATGCTATATTATAAAAGTATAAATATAAACAAATATAACAATATAAATATATTGCATGTTATACAGTTATTACATGTTATATATTATATGTTATATACATTGTTATAATATAGTTATTTATATTATCATTATATTTCTTTATTTTTGATAGATAGAAAAAAATCCCAAGATCATCACTGCATCTCCTGAGAATGTAAAGTCATTACTGAACAACTTCAAAGATACGGGTCTTGTTGGATTACCAATTGAAACAGTTTTGAAGAAGCACTCATATTTGTTATTTGAAGATGCAAACAACATAAAGCATTTACTACAATTATTTGAACACTATGAAATACCAGAAGATTATGTGCATAAGTTCATGAAAATCTTCACTTTGGGCAGTGATGTCTTTCTCGAACGAATGACAATGATAATGAAACACCCGGACTTACAATTATGGCATAAATATCCGCGAATCTTGCAACTGATTCTTTACAAAAATATGGCCATGGATCGTGTGGAGTATCTTCGTTACATAAATCGCATCAAGTGGGCCCGTGCTCACACGGTCTTGTCACAAACAAAGACAATGGACCGGTAAGCAATAGAGGGAACATTTTTGATAAAAACTTCATGAGAGATGTTTTTTCATGATTCACAATTTATATAATATATTTTTATAATAAGTTGATCACCTAGTTGAATTCATGGGTCATATAAACCTTACAAGACTCAATTTCTTAATGTGTTATAGAAATGATATTTTGTTTTTCACTCGATATTTTTCTACATACTTAATTAAATTATTTCTGATCATAGAGGTAAAATCATCCACGAGTAGGTAATGATAAATTTGCACTTTGCTCAGATATGGGTAATGCAGCACTCAGTGTGTAAAGTGATATATTTCTTAAATAGAAGAGAAAATTAAAGAAGTTAAGAAAGTATTAGACTTAAAGTTAAACAATAAAGTTAAACAAAGCCGTATGAGTGATATTCTTATTTTCTTTATTCCTCATAACTCATACATGGAGTATACTCTTTATATGTTTTAATATATAATATATTTTTATCATACATTTTTATATATAATATATATTCTTGGACTAATGCACTTTTTATTTCAGATTTCTCCAATATGGTTCTAGTACACTTATGTCGCAAAAGCCTCTACGTTATCTGCTCAACACTAAACTGAAAATTCCATTGACAAATGTTGAAGTAGTCAAAAAATTGATGAAACATCCGCATTGGAAGACAGCCGGTTTCCATGACATTGGAAAGATGTTGGATTATCTGATGGAGAATTTCACAGTTGATGAAATATGCGCCAATATACACATCGTGCTTTATTCACGGTAACGATGCTATATAAATTAAATAAAAAACATTATTTTATATAATAAATAATTGCATCTTGCTCTGTGCTGTCTTCAGATCCGTAATTGAGGAATTATTAGCTGATCTACGAAAAAAATATTCTCAGAGTACGGAATATTCCTTCACCAATAGGCAATATCTAGCGCTCTGTCTATACATGATAGAGAAGGACACTCACTTCACAGGCGACGGGATCTGGAATAAAGGGCACAATACACAGAAACAATCTTCGTGTTTATCAAAGAATTAACATATTATGGATAGTGATGCAAATGTTGATGATTCCAGTGTTAAGATTACTAACAAAGTTGACGCTAATGTAACAAGAACGAGGTACCTGTAACGACGATATAATGAAATATATAATGTACATAAACATCGTAAATTTGTTGTAAATCGAAAAGCTAATAACGCTGAAAAATTACATTTTGTAGAAAGAGAATATAAATGAAGAAATTTATATATTTTAATTTACAAAAACTTCATTGACTTCGTAAAAGTGACGAATAGCTCGCTATCGCGAGCATTATATGCCCTAAACGATCCTGTCGATCATGCTGGTTAATATCACGGAGAATCAGCGCAACTGATCGATTTGCGCACGGAAATAAAGAACGCTTGTACATCAAGTTGGTTTTATCACTCATTCATTTATTACAAATTATTCTCACATAGAAATCGAGTATACCGCGATACAAAGCAAAATTATTCTGATTAAAGTTCACATCTCTTATACAAAGGCACTGCGTGAAGGCGTTAATCATTCGTCGAAGGCACGTAAATATCGTCAAATTGGATCGCTAATGATCTGTAATGATACATTTTTCCCATCTTTTTTCTCGAGCGCGCGACATTTCATCATTAGCTGAATATAAACTTTAGGACACCGTCACTCCTCGATTATTGCGACGAAGATGCGAGTAAATTGAGCTCGCCGCTTTCGGTATCGAACCAAACACGTGAAGGACAACTGTTACTTCGTTTTCCTCATGATTCGCATCGTATGACTCGGCGCATTCATGTCTTGCTAGCGCTTCGATTCAAGAAATCTCCAGAAAGAAGTAAAACGGCGACCAACCGTCCGTAATTATAAAAAATGGCCGCGAATATGATCATGTCCTAGTTTCAATCGTGCGCTTCAGTATAAGAAATAACAGCAGTAAAGATACAACTTTCTCGATCTCCTGTTAAATAAAATAAAGATATTTTATATTCTCTCTCTTTCTCACACACACACACACACACACACACATTCACACTCTTTCTCTATACGACGTCCTTATATATCAAACATGATGTCGCCTTTGTCCGGGAACAGAACTCGCTCGATTCTTCGCGATTGCTCACGAGAACGACCATATATATAAATCCCTTAACATTCAAGCTCAAATTGATTCATCCCTCACTACTCATTACTCATATTGTTCCAGCGGTATCGCATTAAGGCGTGGTGCAGAGATAACTCGTCGACCGTTCGATTTGGAAAGAGCTGCAATAGTCAGAGTCCAAAGTCATCTCTGGAAGCTCTTTGCGAAGAAGTTACTTGTACGTCGATAAAGTCAGAAGAGAAGCAATTGCGACTAACTTCTCGGCAGAGCCACCTGCGTCTCTGTTACGATAACGGTTACGAAATCAGAAATAAGATGTCAATTTTGGAGCCCGCGTACCATGGACTCTAATACTCGTCGCGCTCGCGAGACACCGACGGAGACAGGTCGCATCTGGACGCGGTGTAATCACCTAGAAGTGATCGAGAGCGCAGGAGGCCGCGAGTCAGTTCAGAAAAGGAGGCAGCTGCACGTAGCTCTGCTGATTGTTCGGCTCGCTCTTCACCATGACTTGGTGCTCCTTCATTGCTTGACGCGTCTGCGGCGAGTGCATGCCGTAGTCAGGTTTCTGATCCGTCGGCTGCTGCGACTGCTGCTGCTGCTGTTGGCCGTAGTCGGTCTGCTCTTGCGCGTACTTGTCGGCGAGGCATCCGCTGCCATGCTCGTCCTCGGACATGCCTGAGTTGCCGAGGTGATGGCCCGGCGGCGAATGCGTCGTTACCATCGTCTGGTAGTCGGCGCGGGTAAGCGGCCCTGGACCCGGCGGCGGTGGCGGACTGCCACCGCCGCCGCCGGCCGGGCTCATGTAGTCTTGATGGACGCGCATGGCGTTCACCCCGGCCGCTGCTGGAGTGGAAAACAACGCAGCCGTCGCCGCATCGTGTTGCGGTAGCATACTGGCGGCGTAAGAATAAGCGCCGCCGTTGCCGCCGCCCCCAGGGCCACCACCGAACGTGGACGTCGAGTACGGTGAATTGGACGGGCTCAGCAGATTCAAGTGCGGCGCCAGGTCGTACGCGGGGGAGTACGGCCACGCATCTGGCGGTGCTGTTGCCGTGGTCGGCGACGCGAATGGATTCAGGGTGTTGTTTAAAGACGTAAAGGAACCTGTGGGTCAGTCTGAGCTTAGACTGAGATTTGTGCAAGCAAATTCTAATATATATAGCATTTAATTCTAATAAAATTCTAATATAATACATATTTCTAAAATTCTAATATATTCCCCCTTCCCCAGCAAACACATCAAGTAACAATAACATAATTGTTACTATATGTATGTGTTATATTGCATATACGCTGCTGAGTGGAAAATTATATCTAACATAATTGTTATAGTTATAGTAATATAACACATATGTTATATCGTAATGTAACTTTTGACTGGAGAATTTTAACTAACAATTATGTAACTCTTATTACTTGACGTTTACTGGGATGATATATAATTCTAATATACAGAATGTCATAGATCATCTGTATCACCCGATTTTTTTGTAAACGTTTTAAAGAAAAATGTTTCAGACAAAAGTTGTATAGTTTCAAAGGGGACGTGTAACAACTATTTTGTAAATAACTTATTTTGTTTACAAATTACGCCACTTTCGAAATATTCATTGATCATTACTTTTCTTAAATGAAAATTCCAACTTTGTACATCATTTTTTTCTACCAATTAATTTGAACAACTTTTGTCGAAACATTTTTTCATTTGCCTAATATTTTTTGAGCTATTTAAGGATAACTTGGTAACTTTTTCAATATTTAATATAATTAGTAGAAAAAAATATTCTAATAAAAAATTGGAGTTTTCATTTAAGAAAATTGATAATCAGTGGGTATCTCGAAAATGGCACCATTTATGAACAAAATGATACAATTATTACATGTCCCCTTTGAAATCATACAATTCTCATTTGAAACATTTTTCCCTAAAATATGACGTTTACAAAAAAATTGGGTGATACTGTCTATGATACTATATAATAGAATTCTATTCTATTCATAAGTCTATTCGCTGTTTCGTCGACAGCTGGTTAGCAGAATATAACAGGATCTGCTAACAGACGGTAGAAATCGAATAGATCTGCCGTAACTATTTAAATATGTTTCAATGGAACATGCTACTCAAGTTGCTTGATTTCTATGACAAATCTATCGTTGTGTTGATGTCAATGTCAGCAGAATGTCAACTCAGGTTCGGCAGAATATGAGCTTACGGATATAAATGGATCTGTTTTGATATTCTGACCAAATCTGCTGCCAGTCTGTCGGCATACTGTTGAATAACATTGTATTTACCGAGGGATTATTTTATAAGAATTTTTAGATCTTTTAGATTTCCTCTAAAAAATGATTCTTATAATGCTTATATTTTTTATAACTTTTATAATTCTAATAAATCTGCATGAGTTGGAAAGTTATTTTTTTAAGATAATTTTTAAAATTTTGAAATGTCGAATACTTCAAATTCTAATTATTTAAAGTAACTCATTATTATTGCTCATTTTGGGAAATAACTTATTATCTTCAACGTTATTCGGGAAGTAATGGGTTGCTTCCGTTATTCTTTTCAGATGTTTTAAAGGCGCTTCTTTACGCTTTCTATCACGTGTAAATGTATTTTATACAGGAAGGAAACTTCAGTTCACATATAATTGGATGGAGATTAAATGAGAATTCGGTGACAAGCTGCATTAAAGCTTTATTGAGATAAGTTATCCAAAAAATGTAATTGCCGTTACTAATAACAAAAACGTGTTTGCTAAAGAGAAAAGTAATTTGCAACATTAGTGACGTTACAAGTAATCTGTTATTTCCCAACGCTGTAATTTTTTAATAGTTTTTCAACTTTTAAAGACAAAAGTTTATGTTAATTTATTTATAATATTCTCTTGCTCTTTCAAGAAAGAAACGATGAAATCAAAGACCCTCTCGAACACGTGTGAAATTAACTATTATAATAATAAAGATATACCTGACAGACCAGGGCTCGCCGATCCCGCGGCCATGTAGCCTGCGGTTTTTCGCGGCGGTTCCTTCTTCCTCCATTTGGCACGACGGTTCTGAAACCACACCTGCACGCGCGTCTCCGACAGGGAGAGCCTCATCGCGAGCTCGTCACGCGCGAATACGTCCGGGTAAGGCGCCCGCTCGAAAGCCCTCTCCAATTCCTCCAGTTGGAAAGACGTGAAGGTTGTTCTGAAGCAAAGAAGTCGGATGTGAATGATCAAAATTCTGTACGTTTGTAAAGTAAAAAAAGAAAAAGTTAACATATTTTCGCGCTTTGTATGAATACCTCGTTTTCTTCTTCTTAATATTATTACTGTCAGTCTTCTTTTTCGAATCTTTCTTGGCCGGCTGTGCCTCGCTGCTGACTATAACAATGTAATATATTTATTGGATTTTATTCGTAGGATTATCTGTGGAAATTTCCAAAAGCAAACTTGTTATTATTACTCGTTACCCACTGACGACAATAACTCCGTACCGTTATCACTTATTTTTGAAGAATAATTGGTTAATATCATCATTATCCAAAAAGCAAAGACAAGACAAAGGAGTGATGAAAAATAAATTACAAATTTCCATTACTTCTTTACCAAGTTTCGAAAATTTTTTCTTATGGTTTCCATTTTCCATGTAGATGTACATATATGCAAAGTAATAATGATTATACATTATATCATTACTCAAAAATGTAATTACGTTACAATGAACATTCCTATACAGCATAAAAGTTGCAGCAACATTTCTGTGACATCGCTGCAACATTGTTGCAACGTTGCAGCAACATTTTTTCAATTTTCTGTATTATATGAGATTACTAATGAATAAAGATACAAAAGTAACTATTAAAAATTAACTGTAAAAAGGTAGAATTAAATGGTAATGACGTTACAAGTGACGTGCATTACCAATTCTACTCGAGGACCGTTATTTGCTTTGAAAAAATCAACTCGTTATCGTTATTGTTAAAAAAATAATGAATCGTTATAATTTCCATTGCTCTTTTTGATAAATTTTCAAAGATTATCTTTCTTTACGAGTCATTTCCGTTCATTCCGCATTCTTCTGAGTTCTTATATATGTAAGTAGAAAGTAATGATAAAAAAGTAACGATTATATTCATTACCGTTATCCAGAAAGCATTCCTTAATTTGCTTTACAGCGTTACCGTTACTAAAAAAAATGCTCGTTGTAAAGTCATCACCGAAAAGAAAGTAATTTGTAATATCGCCACAGGAAATAACATGTTATTTCCCGACTGTTATTCGTCAAGAGCTTTTTTTTCAATCGTTCTGACGTTCAGAATTCAAAATCTAGGACTCTAAATATCAATCCACAATAGGTGTAGCAAACCTTCGATTTTTTTTTGTTTTTTAGGTTATTTTTTAATTTTTGGCAAAAGGTGTTTACCACTATCTTAACCGGAACCTGATTGGAAGCTTGCTTGAAGCTTAATAATTATGACTTCAAGTGTCAGAGCTTTTAGATTATGTTATAGGGAGTTTTGCGCTTAAGGCAAACGGCTAAAGGCTTGTCACAGGATTGCGTATCGGGAAAAAGCGAAGCAAATGAGCGAAGATCTATTACCGGGAGCAAGCGCGTTGATGGGATCGTCTGGCTTCCTCTTGCCGAGCGCGTTGCCCAGCTGCAGACCCTGTTGCAGCGTCGTCGAGGTCGGCGTGACACTACCAGACGTAGTGGATGTCGTGACGTCCTGGGTCTGCGCCATAGGTGCGTACATGCCGGACAACTCGAGCTCCTTCAGCTCCTTTTGTTGCTGTTGCTGTTGCTGCTGCAGCTGGTGATGTTGATGATGCGCCGACGGACTGTTTGGTGAATCCAGCTTGTGGATGTGGCCGCCGCTCGGCATCAGATCGCCACCGTGATGGCCGCCGTGCAGACCCAACATCACTTGGATGCTGTGGACACCACTGCCACCGCGCGCACCAAAGTCTGAGAAAATCGGATCGTCGAAAGGAGCGCCGTCCATCTTCACGAGCGATCTTCTTCGACGCTGCTGAAATTCAAGGTGCCCTTTGGTTGCAGGCGAAATATAATTATGAAACTTTTTTGTCTAATTCGAGGCGGAACTTCTCGAGAGGATCGAGCTGCAAGTTGGTTATGACGTTTCAGGCTGACCCGCACTGCCTTTGACAACTGGTTCTTTCCGAAGAGCTTTGCGCGAAGGTGTCTTCCATGAAATCATGACTTCAGGTTCACTCGGGGGTCTCTGTTAATACAAGTTGTCTTAAAATCGACCTGTCGGATGAACTGTTCTGAATTGATGAAGAACGCGACGTCTCCTTGTCCGAAAACAGAAAACCGAAGAAATGTGTGGCTTAATCAAGCAGTCCGACGTGGAGTCTTCTTAAGTGGGTATAAACGATAAACCATATTGATGAACTCGCCACTGAACGGTAACCTTGATAATATTCATCAGCGATGACAGTTGATTTGAATTGCAGGTAATCGAAGATCCCAATTAACCGAAATTAATCCGAAACGCAATTGCGAGCATCACAGAGTCCATCGTTTGCTACGTTCATAAAGTAATCTATCGTGAAATCTCTTCTTCCTCTTCGCTGCCTCCATCAACTAACGTCCGCCGATCGAAAATGGATTTTGATTACAAGCTGTCGACTGCCTCGATTAAATTAAAATCCAAGAGCAACGGTACCCTCCGACTGTTCCGCACGTCTCATGATCGAGCACGTTGCCTCAGCGGCTCTTCCCGCTTTCCGGTGGAGCCGCCCTTGTTGCGAGAAGAAGGAAGAAACGAGTCGCCGATTGCCCGCTCATACGCACACCGTGACCACGACGACGAAGACTTGGAGTCCGCAGCAATTGCGATCAATTGTTGCCCAGCTTGTGATTAATTTTGATTAGTTTTAAGCAGCGTTAACTCGCGTGATACCGACGCGTTCGTTGGGCTCGCTGATCGGACAGGACCTTGGGAGACCGACCGAATCGACGACGACGACGGCGACGACGACGACGACAACAACGACGACGGGAACGACTACGACTTACGACCTGCCGCTTTACACCACCTTTCCGCCTGTACGAGCCGCGGAGAGCCGACTCTCCGTACGCATCCGCTCGCTTTCTCCCTGAATGTGTCCTCTCTTCTCACTATCGGGACACCACTCTCGCGCCACTACTCCGTCCCGGACTCTGGTTAATCAGCCGCCACTCACACAGGCTTATATTTTCGACGTCGCGCCGACCAAGCCGCCCCCATACTCGAGGCCCTGACCAATCCTGGCCGGCGATGCCCGATCATCGTCGTCACCGTAGCCGATGCGTTTCATGCGGGCGCGGTGATGCTGCCTTGCTCCGATCCACCGCCACCGCTTCCTCCACGGCCCCCACCCCCGGGTCCCACCGGCCTTACAGACGATAAGTGAGCAAACAAACGAGGCTCGCCGTAGCGACCGCCTCCGACTTGCATGCAAAAAGCTCTGCATACGAGGGTGGATCGTGCGAGAAGAGTACGAAGTGAAGGTTCGCGGGGGTTGGCAAGACGGGCTCGTGGGAATTTGGTCGGGGAGTACGTCGGTATTTCAACCCGGGGACTTGGAAGAGCAGCAACCTGGTTGTTGTAGATTGTCATTGCTGATGGTCATTACTTGATTCTTGTTTCGCCGATGAACGATTCACGATTAGCGATTAGTAATTTGATTTTTAGATCGTTCTGATGAAAGCTGTGATTTCTTTTTCACAGCTCTTTTTCTTTTTTTGTCTGTAGGAAAGCGAAAGTGGTCGGCGCATTTGATTTTTCATCGCGTGCCAGAACACTTCGGCTCCATCCTAAGTCTTTTTTTCATCACCAATTCCGCGCGCCTGCACTTATTTTACTTTTATTAACTCTTACTGATATAACTCTAATAAATTAATTAATCTCTCTCATTAGTTGTTTGCTCATTAGTTGTTATATTGATTGCCGTTTGCACTTTCCAGCTACAACACACTAACTCTTGCCTCGTCTCACCAACGTCTCGTTGTACGCATGTCTTCTCGAAATTTTTCTTTTCTGTTGATGTGGGAATGACGTCACTTCTATTTCGACTTTTGCAACGAAAATTTGTCCATGGGTACATAACGTTGAACGCGACATTTAGACCTCATTCTCAAAACATTAGCTACTTAATAGCTGCAACTAGCTACTTAATAGCGTCATACACCCCTTGTATGACCGAACACTTTAAAGTCAATAGTTTTCTTCCTCATAGCTGCACTTTAGAAAAAAACTTACAGTCTTTCTGTTTTCTTTCTATTTTCTTCTCTCTCCCACCGAATGTCGAGCATGTATCTACTTTATTGCAAGTGCAGCAGACAGCGCAATCTAGTGCAGTTTGTAGCGTTTTCGACTGAGCGGATTTTCACCGATCCAGCAGCGATCGATGACATCATAAGCTCTGTGCTTACGATATCTTCAGTCGTTCTCGGATCGATCAGGACTCGTTCAGTTTACCGAAAACGCTATTATCTATCGGGGTTGAAAATCGAATTGCTGCACTCGGCACCAACTCGCGACGTCATCGCGAGTAAACATGTGGGACATTATTATCGTTGCGAACTTCTGCAACACGTGTCTCGTTTCACCAGAAGAACCTGCGGCTTTTAACGACAGGCCGCTGAGACCGAATGGTTCTTCACGCGCTGGTCAACCGATGCCGATCCGTACGCGACGTCCGGTATTGCCGAGGGTGTCACAACGCAGTGCGCACCTTGGTCGCCTCGAAGAGATGAGATCCATGTCGGTTGGCCGGCGGCGTGGCACTGAGAGCTCTTAAGCGCAAGCTCAATGAAATCAGCAATCGCCAGGAATTGCCTCGAATTGGCCCAATCAAACTACTACCCCCCGTTCCGCGTGTGTACGAGCGTATATTAACCGCTAATTTCGTCGTCGACTAATTAGCGCGCGCGCTGCGCGTCGCACCGATTTCTTCGCGGCCGCTATTCTCTCTCTTTCTCTCTTTCTCTCTCCCTCCTTCTCCTTTGCTCTTTCTCGCTCTTTTAATCTCTCCCGCCACCTAGGGATCATCCTGATTGGTTGCCGATCGACCTTATTGCCACTTTCGTGTAGTCTCGATGATGATCGTGTAATTTTTCCCTCAGGATTGATGAGGTCACTTTTCCAAAGCAACTTCTCTTACCTCTTCAGTCGTTACTCATTGACTCGTTACTGTCAACATTAATTACTTCGAAAAAGATTCTGAAAAATTTGTTACCATTGTTGTTATAAAGAATGACGCGTTATTACAATTTGTGTTATTCTTCTTTACCTATTTTTAAATAAATCCTGTCACCACACCTATCCTTTATATAGATATACTTTACATATGAAAAATAACTGTAAAAGTAACGATTACATTCTTTACCTAAAATATGATTACGTTGTTAATGTCAAAAATAATGCCATTAACAGGTTGTTACTGAAAAAATAACCATCTGTAATGATGATGGCGTCAAATATAACATGTTACTTTCTAATTCTAAAAAAATGACTTGTCTATAGGAACAAAATGAAAAAAGTGAAAGGATTTATATTGAAATATTTTTGCACCTCCGTATTTCAGAAAATTATTCAAAATTATGAAGAATGCACCCAAGATGCCGTTCAAGGTGTCCTAGAACGTTCTTAACGCATCCAACATGATTTTAGGATGCTCGTGTTATTTGAATAATTGCTGAGGACCGAATAGTTTTATATTCCATGTAAAATTCATTCAGGCAATACGGCACACGTGACCGTCAATAGTTTCTATATCTAAAAATAAAATCGATAGCGGGGGTGGTAACCGCTACGGAGGAAGTAACAATTAATATAAGGACGGAGACGATCGTGCGGCGATGCGGGTGCTGTCGCGTCATCACGAGCGGTTCTATCATTCCAAAATAGAGTGAGCGTAAAAACGCGACAGTTGCTTATCACTCCATCTGGATGCTTAATCGTCCCTTAATCTAAACAGACACCGCTCAATCTATCGAATTAGTTAAGTTTCGCAGACTTCTGACATCTCCTGTAACGATGACGGTCCTCGATGATATGAGCATCATGTACGTAACTCTGAACAATGTTGCTCGCAATTTAATAGCATTGGGATAAACTCGAATAAGATGGTTATAAGTCTTTAAAATGAAGAAAACATATACTTTTATTTTTGTCATTTCTTAATAGCGCTTGGCACGTTACTTTACTGAAGCTTAAAATGTGCTATCAAAGTTAACTTTATGGCGCTGGCGGACACTCAAAAATCCACCTATATTCCGTCAGTTTTTTATATTTCATGAGCAGTTTTAATGATTGATTTCTTAGCACTTATATTTTCTAGCTTCTTAAGACTAGTGACCCTAACTAATGTAAAATAAATTTACTTATAAATTACTTACTTATAAATTCTTTAAATTTATTATTGCTAATAGTAAGTAAATAAGTAAACACAATAAAATACTTTTAAGAATAAATGTATGGCAAGGCGAAGAATTAACTATTTTTATTTGGGAATTGATACAGGGCAGGGATTTTTTTTGGGGCGCTGGTTACGAATCTGTTGTTAGATTTTAGAAATTCAAAATGGTTGGACCCAATATGGTGGACATAAAATTAAAAATTTAATTAATTTCCGTGAAACTAGGTATCTAGGGTTTTCTTGGGTCGCTGATTACGAATCCATCATCAGATTTTCAAAATTCAAGATGACCAATCTAATATGTCGGACGGAAAACTTAAAAAAAAACTTCAATTTCAAGAAAAACTGGTATTGAGGTGTTTATGGGTCGCTAATTATGAATCCATTACTAGATTTTCAAAATTCATGATGGCTGATTCAATACAGCGAAGCGAGGATTTTAAAAAACCCAAACTTCTATGCCATTTTGAATTTCGAAAATCTGACAACGGATAATCAGCGATTCAGAAAACTCCTGGATACAAAGTTTTATGGAAATCGGTTAAAAGGAAAAATTCGTAGCTCAAAGGTTTAAAGAGAAAATATTTAGAAATAATAGAAATTTTATATTATCCATCCAAAAAAAAAGTAATTTCAGAACAAATGGAATCATCTAAATTTTTATTCTTATATATGGGCTCAAGAGGATTCCTCTAAGATTAAGAGGAAAATATTATAAACACGTTATTCTCAAAGTTAGAGGGATTATATGATATTTATAGTGCAAATTTTATTGATTTCAATATAAATTTCCTCTTATACACAGATTATTTAATCTTTTTTAAGAGGATTATTATTTATTCTTACCGTATTTTATTCTTACTGGTTATAGTAGTTAATTTGAAAAAATTATTATAATATATAGCGAAAAGTAATTTATGTATAGATGTAGATTCTGGTTTCAGTTCTGCAATAAGTAGGTATGAATGAAATAAGATCATCATAACAAATAAATTTGCAATCAGTTTTGTTATGGACTTCATAGCTACAAAGATATTCATCATAACCAACTGTGTGAAACATGGTTCAGAAAAAGAATATATTATTCAACTTCTTGCAATAGATTATAAACTATATTTGACTAAATATGAATAAATTATCTTCGTTATATATTACAGCAACATATCTTTTTTAAAAAGTGTTCTAAATATTCTGACCTATGAGCATATAGTTATTTTCTCGTTCGTGTCTGGAGGTAGAGCATGACTAATCAAGAGAAGAGGATACAAATCAACATATTCCTCTTCATATAAGAGAAAAATTAATTGATATAAGAAGAAATCCGTTCGAAAAATAAAAGGAAAACAGTTAGAATACTTAATATCTAATAAATTTTAGATGAATGATTCATTTTAATCGCTTCGAAAGAGGAATTCTTTTTCTGTAAAAGGCTTTGCTTAGAATATGAGACTATGGGAAAAATCACGTTACAAATAGAATATTTTTTTTTGGGTAGATCCAAAATTGGCATTGACCATCTTACTTGACTTTTGAGGGAAAAATATACTATATGAGATTATGCGACAGTTGATTATATATACGTTATGTTAAAAAAGTACCTAACATGTTAAAAAAATACCTAACATTTTATAAAATAATAAAAGAACTTATAATTTTACATACTTACTTTATTTTATAATATTGAATATATATTTTATAATATATATAACTATGGAAAACTCAACGGCATTATCGACAATTATTGATGAAAATATAACAAATTATCAGTAATTACCGATTGCGTGGAATATCGTAGTTCTTTACTTGTAGTATTGATGCTAATATATTGTGACATTGTGTTGGCCAACTTATCCTAAAAAAAATGAGCTATCTTACCCAAACGGTAACAAAAAGAGGGCCATATTTATAAAAAAAATAATGAAAACAAATAAAAATTATGCGTCATATTATGTCATTTACGTATCTTCGTTATGTGTCTAACATTGATTGTGACGACTTAATTATAATTTATTCGACGTTGTAGCAGTTTTTAACAAACACGTAAAAAACTGTGCAGGCAGTCGAAAGTAAAAACATGATATAATATTCACAATATTGTTATTTCAAATAGTGTATAAACTACTGTAAATATCAATTATCTTTGAGAATGATAATGACTATAAAAACGCACTATTTAGCAATTATCGAGAAATTGCAGCCTATAGCTATCTTTTTCACATGACCATCTTACCCGAGTTTATCCTATATTGACATACACGAAAACGTAAGCAGTAAAAATGTAAACAATAAGCAATTGATTAAACATAATTGATTATTTTTGGATTGTAAGAAGAATAGTCGACCGTAGTTTGGTCAATTTTTAATCTCTGGTAAGTCTCCAGCCTTTTGCTCTAAGCCTAAACTATCTTCGGCTGTCATTTAATATTCACTGTTGCTCGGAAACAGTCAACAAGCCCTGAAAATATCTCACTAGGCCGCTCTACAGATCTCGCACCGTCGCATTTGATCCGCCAATCTTTTTTCTTAAGTATCTCAAGGATCATCGTATTTGTTTGTCAAATAACGGACGATTTTTCTGCTCAGTTTGACTTTCACAGGTTGCGAGCGTGTTGCTACGTTTAAGTATATCTAAAGGCTCGTCTACAATAGCTGTAAGAGTAAGGCTGTAAGGCTTACTCTTATAGCCTTACTTTTACAGCAAGCAACGTAAGCTGTCAGAATGAAAATATTTCATTTCGTGTCTTGCAACCTTACAGCCTTATTCTTACAGCTAATGTAGACGAACCTTAAGTGTGTTAGAAATATTAAGATGATTTTGGACGTTGACTAAAATCGTGACGTAAAATTGATTGATCGATGCCACTTCGTCGACCTTTCCGTGATCTTACTTGAGCAACGAGAGATTGATAAACAATACACCGCTCGTTGGCCGCGGTTAATTTCCAATTTCATGGCGATGCCAGTGCAGGCCGGAGGGCGAGAGAAGGAGAGGGTGCCCCCAGCTTGAAGGGTACTTCCGCGCATCGCGGGGGATGCGCCCGCGGCCCGTCGAGGCTGCGGCCCGGCCGGCCGGCAAGAGAACGAGGAGAAGTCGGTAACTTAACTGGCCTAAATGGGTTTAACTCGATGTGATTTTGCTGGCGAACCACTAAATTGAACGAATACGAACTAAACTGAACTCAACTAAGCTAATCATATCACATTACTAGCGTTATTAGCCGAGCGACGATATAAGTGAAGGCCCGGTGATGCCGGGCTGCAGTAACACGCCTGCTGGGTCGCCTCCTGCACTGACCCTCCGCGCCGCCGCGACTTTCTCTTCGGCATCCACCGCGGCTGCACCTCGTTG